TGCAATGCTTCGGAGGCAGCGCCGGTGCCGCAGCCTGCGGCACGCTCCGGCGGCGGGCACACGTGTCACGGCTGGAGGCTGCAGAAGGGCCCTCCCACAGTCACCTGGGAATACTGGGCATTAGTTTTAAGACTTCAAATTCCTCCTTGAATAGTCTGAATTTGTCACTGTGCTTTATTTAAACAGAGCATATTATATTCTCTTTGCAAAGAATGGCAAAACACGTGACCCACGTGGAGCCGAAGGAAAAAACCAACAAACCAAACACGCTTCTTTCAGCTACCACCCCAGGCTTCACGGCCGGCGAGAGCAGCGAGCGACTTGGGAAAGCAACGCGCGTCCACCCTTAATTGGAAACCAGCCACGACACAGGTGCCTGCCAGTACCACGGCCAAACCAGGCTGGAGTGATCTTCCTGGTTCGAGACGGAACACGGCATCTCAGGCGGCCCAGTACCTGCGGCCTCACCTCTGCATTACTGACACAGAGGGAGAACGCCCTCGGCCGCGGCTTCCTGAGAACACGGGAAGCCTTACACAGAGCAACTTACACATCTCTACCCACTCCCAGCTGATTTAATCTGAAATTCCTGGGGAACAATCCTAGAGAAGAAGAATTAAATTCTAGGAACTCCATCCCAGGAAATCCCTTCGTGAAAGCTTCCACAGTCATCCATCCTTGGACTCCTGAAGGGAGAAATTTAAGCAGCTTTTTATATTTCAGTCCCTGTTATTAACAAACAAGACTGGAAGCAGGGCTGGTCTCACCAACATTTCTCCTGTTGGCAACACAGAGCCTGCAAGAAACGTGCCTGAAATCAGCTGACAGTACAACGAGAGGCAGCAGCGAACACTGACAACTTCACTTAGCAGTTGTACTCCAAAATCCTGTAAAATTTTAAGTCAAGGTGCCACCATTGCATCCATACATCTTAAAATCCTAGTCAGCCACTCCTTACAGTTCAGAATTGTTTGTACAGTATGTTATATATAGTTATAGCACATTACACCTTATATTTACCAAAACACTTTGTTTCTATGCCTCAGCATCCTGGTTTTCTGAGCAGGGACAACATTTGTCGTTAGGAGGGCAGAGCGTGCTCCGTTCGCATGCCAGTCCCACAGGGAACAGAGCTGTTCAGTCAGCCAGGAGAAGGGTGAGAGGAGGGACGGGAGTGAAGAAACGCATACATGACCACCATGGCTTTTAGGAACAAAATTTATTCCAATTTCAAACAGAGAATTTATTTCAGGAGAAAGATATGAAAATCAATTTCCATCAGATATTTCTGTAGTAAGGGTTGTTGCCCAGCAGTCAGAGTGGGATCATTCCAAGAAACAATCACACTCCTGGACTGGAATGAGACAGTTTGGAGCCTGAATAGATCCTGACACTGGGCATCTTATTCAGAAACTCCTTTACCCTACCCTCTTCCCTCCCCCCACCCCAACACGCACAACAATACATGCATTGCAAATGACAAGGTTTAAAAACAGCATTTTATATAGTATCTTTTTAAATAGGCTAATGTTTAAATTGTCTTAAATCAGGATCCTATAATATACAAGTATAACCAAATAATTTCCACCACATTGGCACTTGTAAAGAGTCTCTGGCACTACTAAAGAAGGGGCATTGGCACAAACCATACTCTTATAAAACCGGGTGCTGCATCACACACTTTATCTCTGCTGGACTCTAACGACCTGGGCGCTGTACAGTACAATACAATGGTCAGCACACTCCGGAAGTACTTTTTTTTTTTAAACCAATAAAACACATGAAGAAAACCCATAGTTGAACGCAAGGCAACAACAAGAGACCAAAGAATCCAACTCCAGGAGAAGGGGAGACAGGCAGAAAGGGCAGGAGCTATCTGACACGCTGAAGCAGGAAGGGGCTGTTGCTCACCAGGTAGCCAATCCACACAGAATGGTGCAAAGAAATGGGATGGTTCTCTCCTCACTGACTTCAAGTTTCAAACTGGTTCAAAGTATGTTGGTTTCTTCAGCAGAACAAAGATAAAAAGTGCACAAGGAGCAGAGGTTAGCCAAGAGACAACTTCCTCAGACTCAAGATTCTAGATTCTCTACAAGAACCCAATTCCATTTCTTTTCTGAAGGTCATCTGCTGTCTCAACCTGCAGAAAATTCTGACTGGCCTCACTTTCAGAAAAGATTATATAGGCAAATTTGGTTTAAGGTTTGGCACTTCTGCTAGGGCAGGTATTTGCCAAAGGGCCAGCCAACAGAGACATGAACCAGTTCTGCAGGAATGTTTCGCTGGCCAAGCTGCAGGCACACAAGCTACTGCTTGCTAAGAAAAGCACGTGCTAACACTGCTGTCTTCTCACATGGAATACAGTCCACAGACAACTCCAGATTATGTGTACAAGCCTGACCTATTCCTCCTGTAATTCAGAATGAGGTTCCAGGAACTCATGAGACAACCATCACATAATGTTCCCCCCTTCCCTTTGCAATAATCATCACACCAAGCCAGTTATCAAGCCAACAGCTACACCAAGCAGGTGCTCAGTAAGGTACAGCACATGCCTAAATCCTTGTGCCCGTAGCCTCCCACAGTTCCCCATGACAATGCAGATGCACTCTGCAAGAGAGAGAAGCGAAGATCCCTCCTCCTGTGCCAGGGCAGCAGCTCTTAAAGGGGAGGATATAAACCAAAGAAAGTTTCTGATTCAAGTGGAAGTACCACCATCATTCACCTTGGAAACAAACAAAAAAACAACTTCTGGGAAGTCATTTCCAAGAACTGTGTATCTCAGTGCCAGGTCTGTTTCTGGCCATAGTTGTAGTGTGAACCATTTACAAGAGGATCACAGAGTGGAAGAGGCTGGTGCTGCAATCTGCTTCCGATGAACAGCACTCAGAATACACAAAGATGATTATAAATTCCTCTTTATAGGACAGTTTCTACAAAATGGATCCTTTTGGCATAAAGACAAAAAAAGCAGTAAAATTGATGCAAAGCTGTCTGACACATGGGAATCCCTCTCATTCCTCCCAAGTGTTAAACGCAGTCCAGAGCATGGCTAGTCGAGAGAGATGATGTGTTTCCCCCAGCATCACCTCTCAGCCAGACTGGCTCTTCAGCTGTTGGTCCCATGGCCACTTGAGCTCTCTAATCACTCTTAGCAGAGCTTGCTTTCTTCTGTAGTGCCCTGAGACATACAGAGGCTTCCCTCAGCTATTCTGGAAAACAAGAAGGACCTATAAACAGAATTACTCAAAATTATGTCCCTCCATATTTTAGTGTTCCAGATCAAAGCATCTTAAGCATCTCAGACAGTTAAGATTTACTCTTACATGTTGTGCAAAACACTGATGTAGTGCTCTGTCTACAAAAGAGACAAAATATCAACAGCCCCCTTCAACAGTGCAGCTCATTTAGTCTTTATCTACTGGCAGCCTACTAGCATTCAAGGGGGCAATCTGGTCGATCCAGAGAATTTGGACCCAATGCTACTTGTTGGAATTGGAACAGAAGCATTAATGATGACTAAATGACACATGTCCAGAGGTGGGTCAGATTTCCCCATTTCCTACTCACTCGCCTTGCCACTGCAGACATCTTCCAGGCCGGCAACAGGTCTTCAGCACATTTGTTCACTTGCCTCAGCTCCTGGAAAAAGCTCTCTAATGTGCAAAGGCTGCACAACCTTCTGCTTAGTGGAGTTTCATTTGGCATCTAGAATCCAGAACTACTTCCACTCTACCTTCCACCTGCACCAGCAAACCCTGCTGTCTCTGCCTCTACTCTCCTGCAAAACAAAAGTGCAACCACAGCAGGGATTCTGGATTCCACAGCAGCCGCACGCTCCAGCCATGACTACTGTAACTCGATTATCACATGCACCCCGGAGCAAGTACGTGTGCAAGTCCTCCAAAGAGGATCCATACTCCTCTAAAGGGAAACACAGCAGCATGTGCCTCAGGGGAATGCACAAACAGGAGACAGAAGTGCCGCTCACTCCCTTAAAGAGCTATCCTCAATCTTTTCAAGTAAGAATCCTACCTGTGTCCCCAAGTTTGTCACCCACAAATTCTGGTCCTTCCTAAAAATCTGCAAGCTGAACAGGACTGAGGAGTTCTTACAAAGTCATTCAACACACTGGCACAAAAGGCAATAAACAAGGTTTGTTTGCTACTAGCAGCAAGAAAAGAACTAGAGGGTGGCATGAGACTACAATTTTCAATCCAGCCAAAGTCTGATGTTTAAATGCCACAATTACTCAGTGTGCTTTTGATATTTGCTGCATAGAGAAGTTGCTCACTTGATGTCATATATTCTACTCAACAAAACATAGTTTCTCTCTGCAAATTGAGCCTTGAATGCGCGCACATGCGCTTGTGGCACGGAGGGGGAATGCGTGTATGTGTGCGAAGAAAATAAAAACGAAAATAAAATAAAAAAGAACAATTACAGTCAGGCACTTCCCCAGGCTCAGCAGCTATTGCTCCAAGAGCTTCCATCATTTGTAGTCCATGAACAAAATACAGCAACACGTAGCAAACTATGTATAGAACATCAATAATTTAAAAAAAAAAAATCACAGTCTCCATACCTTTTATAATTGATAAGAAAAAAGAACTAAAACATATAAAGAATGGAACAGTGATGGCTTTTTTTGTTTGTTTTGCCTTTTTCTTTTTTTGCACAATAGTTGGAGAGCAATCGCTCCTCCCCAACATTTCATCACAGTGAACCATGGAGCGTGTCCTGGGGAAGGGAAGGGAAGGGAAAGAAGGGAGGGAGTGACGGAGAAAGCAAGCAGGATTTGCAAATTACAACAGAGGCACCCTATAGCACAAGGCAAAGGGACCAGTAGCATTCTGCACTCCCACAGTCCAGTGAATTCACAATCTCATCTGGAAAGGGGTTTTTTTATATATATACCATGGGAATGAAAAGGGGGGAAAAAAGTGGCTAAGCAACAAAGGAAAGCTCAAGATGAGACTGCCTTAGCTGTTTGGCAAAAATTAAGAAGTAAGCAAGGTGCTGAAGAAATGAGGCATATCCCCGTTAACTGTGAAATAAAAGCAATTTGTTAAAAATATGAAATCAACTACTCTGTGGATAGAGACATGAGACTCCAGGATAACACTGAGCACTTGCCACTCCACAGATCAGACAATTTGCAATCATTACATCATCAAAAATTAAAACTTTTTTTCCTGTCATATTTAAAATTTCTTTTTTTGTCTTTTCTCCACAATGAAGCCTCTCAAGGGGCCAAGAGCAGAACAGGTCAAACCAGGTTGTACTCCTTCAAGTTGAGCTGTAGGATGGTGTCCTTGACAGCCGCAAAGACGAAACGGATGTTTTCTGTGTCTGTGGCACATGTGAAGTGAGAATAGATGATTTTATCGCTGTCTGGATTTAAATCCACAAACATCTTGAGAATGAACTCACGGGCTGCCTGTGCATCCCTCTGTGGGCCTGCAGAAAACAAAGAAACCAGTTAATGGATTTATGCTAAGCATATCCCCCAGTTCGATCCATTGGAATAATTGCTAGCACACTTTTTCTTATGGGTTACAGAGCTATAAAGAAGAAATTAAGATCATTTATTGCATAAAAGTCCCAGGAGCTGAAACGTCTTCTACTTTTCAGTTATCTAACCAAAACTCACGAAAGGCATTTTTCCAAGGCTGAGAGTTTTGACAGACACCAAGGTGTCATTTCAGATGGTGCTTCAAAATACAGCATTTGGTATAACCCAGTACGTGCTGCGTTCCCTAGAAAACAGCGACAGATGCTGGATATATGTAACACGATGCTCTCCTCTGGAGATGGGATGTATATTTCTTGCTAACATATAGATGGATGTTATGTACTAAAGGACACAAGTGTATGTTTTGCAATCAAGAGTCACGTTTAGTCGACACTGTGGTCTGTCCTAACTGGCTGGTAAACTCACGGGAGCTAAAAACTGGAATTTTTGCCAGTATTTACTTCGTGTTGCTGACAGCTCCTCAGAAAAAAAGTCACCTACTGATATTTCTTTCACAGTACTGGTGGTGTCACATTCCCCATGGCAAGGACCATCTCTCAAGAGGTGGTCTGATGGGCTACCTCCCACTCACAAGCCACACAGCATCCGTGGAGGAGTTACAGTAAACACTTACATGAAAAAAACGGAAGTATATGATACTTCCTGATGTTGCTATCTTGTTTCCAGCTGTTAAGTTATATTAGAAGTATGCACTATTGGACCGATAAGGTCACCAGCCATCCCCAGCCTGCTGTAAAAACGTGCTGTTTTCCACCACTGACAATTCCAGAGTGCTCGTGCCTTCAGACAGCAGGGGGCATGAAGCTCCAGCAGTGAGAGGACAACTAATAAGGAGCAATTCATTAGTCGTTTAAAAGCAGCAAGCTACTTGCAGAATGGCAATTCTTCCCTTACCTTGTATTTTCAAAGCACATAAGGACAGAGTTACTACGTGAGAGCGTGGCAAGAAGCGTGTTGCCTGATCTCATTCTCCATTACTTTTATGTATTTTCAGCCCTGTGCAGATGTGTTACCAGCCAACTTTAAGTGCACTCAACTGAAGAGCCTGGAATGCTATTTTGGCTAAGGACTTTTGTTTCAGATGGGAATTTCTCTGTTTCACATAGATACCATTTGTCCACAGCTGCAGATGACACGCTAATAAGAATTTCATGCTAGCTGAGATTTTTCAGCACCATCATTTGAACAACTTGGGTATTTGACCACTCAGTTTCTCAAAACAAGGACTCAAGTCACCTCTTGACTAAAGGGTTAAAATGCCCGGGGAATTGCCGCATGTTTATGAAATGGGTTGTATGCACGAGCATACAGGTAGGAAAGTCAGACTTCCATTATTTAATACTCTGAAGTACGTATTGGGGGGCAGGGGAGAGGGTGGGGAATAATTCTTCCTCTAGAAGAGGATCATTATTTGATCATTTGATCAGATTCCAGTTAAATACATATGATTAAGATATTTTTGTGACATTTTCTCATTGTGGTAGGCATTCCTTCTCAAATAAAGATGTTTTCCCCACCTCTAGATGTGAGTTTTCTTTTTAAAAAAAAAAATTCTAACCAAACCACCTCCACCCCTTCTTCTACATATAGAATGTTCCTTCTTAAAAACCACTCACCATCAAACTCCGGGAAATAGTCAACAAGGTGGGAATATAGAATCTTGTCTTCCAATAGATCTTTCTTGTTGAGAAAGAGGATAACAGAAGAGTTTTGGAACCATGGATAAGTGATAATGGTTCGAAAGAGAGCTTTACTCTCTTCCATCCGGTTCTGAAGCAAGAAAAAGAAAGTCTTGTTTTCACAAATGAGCACTAAGATGCCTTTCTGCTACCTGCACACATACTGTCCGTATCAATCAAGCATCTCTGATGCTGTACACAGAATACTTTGGCCCCAAGTCGGTTCTGGCTCAAGTTGCGCCAGTGAACGGAAAGGAAATGCAAAATCTGATGGACTCAAGCTTCGTTTAAGCGGTCGTTCATATCGAAAGGCTTAAAAGCCATTTTGTGCTTTGACAGTCACGTGAAAGGACTGGCCATGATACTTTGCGAACACGTTTTGTCCAGTAGAAAAGGAGTATCGGCTGTTACCTAATGGCATTTTTTTTAATCTATTAGCAAGTGCAAAAATTCTGTATTGCACCTTCAGAGAGACTAGTCACCATCGAACAAGACAACAGTCACAGCACAAAGTAACGTGGAAAAGAGGAACAGGTGATTTTTAAGAGCATGCAATCACATTGCACAGTTTCTTCCAAGGCACACAGAATTCCGCAATTTCAGAGCATTTCAGTATTACTTGAGAAGTACAGATGATTTGAATGCACTGTGCATTTTCCATTCTCAGGGACACCATGACCCACTGAGGTTCATGTTCCCTTTGCCATAAGAAGAACTGAAGGCCAAAACCACAATACTTGCTAATCCAACTTGGCACCAAGCACTTTGGTACGAACCTCCAAGCAGCTAGAAAGACATTCCCCCTTTCCTTCCACCTTTCTGCAGAGTACCCATTCTTTGGCTTACCTCGTTATCAGATTCCACCAGAACTTGGTCGTATTCACTAAGTGCTACTAAAAACATGATGGAAGTCACGTTTTCAAAGCAATGGATCCACTTCCTTCGTTCTGATCTTTGACCTCCAACATCCACCATTCTAAGGAAGAGAAACACATAAAGTACCACCGAAGTAGCTGCAGTTCTCTCTTTGAACACAAAGGACCAGCACACGACGAGAACAAATGCGGCTCTTTACCATTCAAGTTAACCTGGCACAAGGACGTAATGCTATGAGCTTGCTAACAACCATCAAGTTTACAAAATATTCTGTTCCAGAAATATATCAAACTGAAGAGATGGCCATAGGCGAGTGACGCCAAATTCAAATCCCAAATATCAGCATTACCATTTTTAGTTGCGTTCTGCTCTGGTTTTCCAATTAGCAGTCCTGAGTCTGAAAAGATAAGTCCTTCAAAACCCTGCTCTGTCAAATGAGCGAAGTATTTTTATTTTTTATTAAAGCATTTGCTTGCCTCAGAACTTCTCTTGTACAGAGAGCTTTCTTTAGTTATTAACCTTTTCTAAGAATGCACTGTTTAACAGTAATGTGCTTCAGCTCCTCAGTTTTAAGTCCCACCTGCACAGTACGCTAAAACTATTTTGTCACTCACCTAAAGTGCAACACAAACAGTCCACTTTTGCTAAAACTCCACACTTATTTCATAGGTCAGCAAACCAGAACAGGGAGAGTAACTTTCTGCACCTCTGTAACTGCACGGTTTAAGAAAGAGGATGCAGGCTTCTTTATTCCTGTCTTGTGATGTTAAGAGAGTGGTAGAGAAGGGCAGGGAGCATTTAAGTACCAGAGAGCTAGGGAGAAAATTGCTTTGCAATAGGCAGGCATGTCATTGTGTCCTTTATGCTATGCTCGATTGCTGCCTTAAGCCTCCAAATACCATCTACTGCTGCAGCAGCATGGGCAGCAAGCTTTGGGGTCATCCTGAGAGCACGAGGTAGGCAAAGAAATCATCTCGGAAGGCAAATATTAGGTGCCACAAACAAGGAAGTATTTCTGCACAAAAAGTGATCTCTTTTTGAACGAGTAATAAACGGTCAAAGTTGTTTGAGCCAAGCATTCTTAAAGGGAAATACATTTCAAGTCAAACACTGCCCAAAGCAAGCTTCCCCCACCTCCGCTTGGTGGTTTAAGCTACCAACAGTTTACTCAGCTGCCTCACAAGCCACCACTTCAGCCTCAGGCACCAGTAATGCAATCCTTCCCAAGAAGGACACAAATTCCTGTGAGATGGTGAGTTGGGCTTTAAGTGTCACCGATTCAAAAGCACGTTCTGTTTTGTGACAGTCCATGCTTTGGCTTGGAGTCTTCCCTTAATCAGAATAAAATGTTACACCACTCCCGTCATAGGAGCACCTGTCAGCAGATACTTCACCATTTCACAGCACATACATCCACTCAAGCCTCTTAACTAAGCACCTGGACACTCTAAAGCAGTCCAGAACTCATCCTCCCTGAAACCGTGTCACTCCTCTGTCAGATCAGCTGTAACACGAATACACGTTCAGTACCTGAAGATAATATTCTCTAGGTCAAAGGGGTACTCTATGATCCCGGTCGTAGGAACTCTAACCCGTAGCACATCTTGCTGAGTTGGTAGATATCCCGGGGTAGCAATACGATCCACGTCGCTAAGATAGCTACAAGAAGCACAATGGAAAAAAAAAAAACTACCTTAGGTTGGAGCACATAAATATACAGAT